ATCATGATCAGAATATCACCCGCCTCAGTCAGTCCAGGTCCTCCTCCTCTGGGACAGTGGGAGTCTTTGTGGACTGTCCTGCTGGGTCTCTGTCCTTCTACACAGTCTCCTCTGAGGGACTGATCCACCTCCACACCTTCAGCTCCACCTTCTCTCAGTCTCTGGTCCCTGGGTTTGGGCTCCTGACTGAAGGCTCCTCAGTGACTCTGTGTCCTGGGTCTGAGTGAGACTCTGTGGGATCGGTCTCCTTCTGTTCATGTGTTTAACTCTGTGGGATCGGTCTCCTTCTGTTCACGTGTTAAACTCTGTGGGATCGGTCTCCTTCTGTTCATGTGTTTAACTCTGTGGGATCGGTCTCCTTCTGTTCATGTGTTTAACTCTGTGGGATCGGTCTCCTTCTGTTCATGTGTTTAACTCTGTGGGATCGGTCTCCTTCTGTTCACGTGTTTAACTCTGTGGGATCGGTCTCCTTCTGTTCATGTGTTTAACTCTGTGGGATCGGTCTCCTTCTGTTCATGTGTTTAACTCTGTGGGATCGGTCTCCTTCTGTTCATGTGTTTAACTCTGTGTGATCGGTCTCCTTCTGTTCATGTGTTTAACTCTGTGGGATCGGTCTCCTTCTGTTCATGTGTTTAACTCTGTGGGATCGGTCTCCTTCTGTTCATGTGTTTAACTCTGTGGGATCGGTCTCCTTCTGTTCATGTGTTTAACTCTGTGGGATCGGTCTCCTTCTGTTCATGTGTTTAACTCTGTGGGATGGGTCTCCTTCTGTTCATGTGTGTTTAACTCTGTGGGATCGGTCTCCTTCTGTTCATGTGTTTAACTCTGTGGGATCGGTCTCCTTCTGTTCATGTGTTTAACTCTGTGGGATCGGTCTCCTTCTGTTCATGTGTTTAACTCTGTGGGATCGGTCTCCTTCTGTTCATGTGTTTAACTCTGTGGGATCGGTCTCCTTCTGTTCATGTGTTTAACTCTGTGGGATCGGTCTCCTTCTGTTCATGTGTTTAACTCTGTGGGATGGGTCTCCTTCTGTTCATGTGTTTAACTCTGTGGGATCGGTCTCCTTCTGTTCATGTGTTTAACTCTGTGGGATCGGTCTCCTTCTGTTCATGTGTTAAACTCTGTGGGATCGGTCTCCTTCTGTTCATGTGTTTAACTCTGTGGGATCGGTCTCCTTCTGTTCATGTGTTTAACTCTGGAATCGGTCTCCTTCTGTTCATGTGTTTAACTCTGTGGGATCGGTCTCTTTCTGTTCATGTGTTTAACTCTGGGATCGGTCTCCTTCTGTTCATGTGTTTAACTCTGTGGGATCGGTCTCCTTCTGTTCATGTGTTTAACTCTGTGGGATCGGTCTCCTTCTGTTCATGTGTTTAACTCTGTGGGATCGGTCTCCTTCTGTTCATGTGTTTAACTCTGTGGGATCGGTCTCCTTCTGTTCATGTGTTTAAGGCTGTGGGATCGGTCTCCTTCTGTTCATGTGTTTAACTCTGTGGGGTTGGTCTCCTTCTGTTCACGTGTTAAACTCTGTGGGATCGGTCTCCTTCTGTTCATGTGTTTAACTCTATGGGATCGGTCTCTTTCTGTTCATGTGTTTAACTCTATGGGATCGGTCTCCTTCTGTTCATGTGTTTAACTCTGTGGGATCGGTCTCCTTCTGTTCATGTGTTTAACTCTGTGGGATCGGTCTCCTTCTGTTCATGTGTTAAACTCTGTGGGATCGGTCTCCTTCTGTTCATGTGTTAAACTCTGTGGGATCGGTCTCCTTCTGTTCATGTGTGCTCTGTCTGCCTGTTTTTGGATGTATTTTGTGCTTTTTTGACATTAAACTGGTTTAACTCCTTCCTATTTGTGTCTGTGTTATGTTCTCATGTACGTTTGTGTAAATAAAGATATGAAATCGTTTATGAAGGAGAAACGCATATGAATAAACATGTATGAATTCTCAAACAGGACATCAGCGTGTAATTACACACTTCTACCAGCAGAGGGAGGGGCTTATCCTTTGTTTTCTACATCCACCCATTGCCCAGAGTGTGGTCTCTGGGCAATGGTCTTAACTGGGGGCGTGGCCAGTTAAAGGGGTGTGGCCAGTCTAAGGGGCGTGGTCATGCTGAGGGGAGATAACTAGAGATCAGTTGAGAGTGGGAGCTGGGTAGAAAGTCTTCTCCAGGATCTTAGAGATGAAAGTGAGGTTTGAGATTGGGTCAAAGGGGTTGAGATCTGTGGGATCTGAACCAAGTTTCTTTAGAATAGGAACAGCAGCAGTTTTCAGAGGAATGGGACCAGTTCCAGCGGTGAGGGAGGCATGGATGATGTCTGTGATGAGAGGAGCGAGAGAAGCTAGGACAGGTTTGACAAGAACTGTTGGAAGACGGTCAAGTTTACACGAAGAGGTTTTGGATGAGTGTGGAGATTTGAGTAACAGAAAAAAGGGTAAATGAAGAGAGAGTGGGCAGAGAATCAAAGGGAACAGAGGCAGCGGGAGTCGAAGTGTAGTGAAGAGTTAGTTGCAGGTGTATAAGCTGGATCTTAGTGGTGAAGAATGAAGCCAGAGGATGCAGAAGTCAGATGAAACGAGACGAGATGGAAGTGAGTCAGGAGTAGTTTAGTATTGTTAGTGATGAGAGAGAAGAGAGCTTTGTGACTTCCTGTGTTCGAGCTAATGTAACCAGAGTAATGTGAGGATTTGGATTTGGGGATGCAGTCTTTGTAGAAGAGGATGTGATGTGTGTTCGAGTCTTCATGAATAGTTGGTCCGGTTTTTAATGCTGAGTCTTTTAAGTTGTGTGGGGCGACAGTAGCTCAGTTGGTAGAGCATTGGCCTTTGGGCCTGGAGGTCGTGAGTTCGATTCCCACCATGGGACCTACTCCAACTGCTCCCACTGATGACTGCTGTCGTTGTGTCCTTGGGCAAGACACTTAACCCCACATTGCCTGAAGCCCCCCGCTGAAAGATCAAGGCTGTTTCACAATTGACGGAGCAGCCATCTTCCTGTGGACTCACCCCCTGCAGAAGATCAGCGAGGGACTGGTACTATCAGCATTGGGTGGCAGCTCTCATTGCCACCCCCCCCGACCCAGAAATGGACAAAGGGGTTGAAAATGAAATGAAAAAATAGTTTTTTAAGTTGTCGTCCTTTTGCTTTCAACCGTCTGAAGGTGGGACTAGACCAGGGATCAGAGGGGTTAATTTATTTTATTTTTTATTTATACTTTATTAACTCATTGACTGCCATTGACAAATTTCTCTTGGACCCTATATTCGACTGGGGATTACAGGACAATAAAAATAGCTAAAAACAAACTTATTTTTGCTGATTAAAGTAGACAATCCAGTCTGTCAGAATCTGGTTTCACATTTCACATAGTCTTAGGAAATAATATTCTATGGATCTTGAGAATCAGTGAAATCATCAAAAACGGCAGGCAGTCAATGAGTTAAGGACTCACATGCACAGAATCCATAGCTAAGAATAATGAAAGAAAAGTTTAAAAAAGATCAGAGTTGAAACACACATAGTAATCACATATTCACATATTTAGACCAAGTCACACATACAGAGAAGCCAGTGACTCCAAAACAAAGAAGTGAACCTGACTGAGCTAATGTAAGGACAAACCAGGGACTGTACAACAGCATTAGGCAGCATTAGGAGAATGCAGGAAATACAGATTTTATGTCATTTTTTGTCCTAAGAATCATGATGAAGCTTTTACTAGAGTTATATTTTATATCATTTTGAAGACCGTACTCAGAGCATATATTGAGGAGCTGCTGAAGTCCTGCACTGTACGGACTGAGCACAACCAGGTCATCGGCATACATGAGGTGGTTAATCACTCTGCCTCCCACAACACACCCAGTAATACAGTGATTGAGCTGTACAGAGAAATCGTCCATATAGATGTTAAACAACAGGGGGGACATCACGCTACCCTGCCGGACTCCATTACTGACCTTGAATGAGTCTGACACTGACCCACCCCACTTCACCCGCATACTCTGCTGTGAGTATCAAAATATGAGGACCCTAATAAGGTAGCCAGGAACACCTCAATTAGATAACTTCCTGAAAAGCCTCTCATGATTAATCCTATCGAATGCTTTGGATGCATCTAAGAAACAGGTGAAAATTGTGGAACCTTGACTGTGGTACACAGGTCAGTACCATGCTCTGGTTTGAATCCAAACTGGTTTGCAGCTGTATAAAGGTATGGTTCAAGTCTGTACAGAATGATCCTCTCAAAAACCTTGGCCACAGAACTGGTCCCTTTGTTTCTTTGCCCAGCCTGTCCTGGAAGGCGCCAGTAAGAAAATGTGGCCTTTGATTTCAGCAATGCATCAAGATGAGGTCACATGTGTCGTCAAAGCGGAACAATGCATTCTGAGACTGGGAGAGCAGCTGTACTTAAAACACGGCCATGATAAGACTAAGCAGGAGGACATCAGGCAGAACATGAGAGAAGTCGGTAGGTTAAGGAATCAGAGACGGCAAAGAAACTGAAAACAAACATGTATTGATTACAACAGTAGGGACTACTTTCTCTCGAGTATACGCACAGCGCATATGTAATGAGCACGTGGGTAGCGTACTTTGAAGGACACCTGTAAAGTAAAGATGTTACTGACATTACCGTAGTTTCTGTATATTCTTCATAAAAGTTATATAAGAGACAAACATAACAAAACTGGTGACGAGGATTTACAAGAACCCATAAAGGCTCTGGATGAATAACGGTAAAAAGGGTAAAAATGGACTTGGTTTGGTGAGAGACATTTTCGTTTGCTCACTCCGAAGACAAACTAACGGGAGGTGGGGACGAAGTACCATTACAGTAATCGGACGCCATAAAGTGACAGAATGTCGGCATTTGTTGGACATATGGACACATTTGACAGTTCCATGGAGGACTGGTCAATTTATGTTGAAATATTTGACCAGTACTGCCTTGCTAACGGGATAGAGGATGAGAGGAAAGTCGCGGTTCTTCTGAGTCTCATGGGAGCGAAGACGTATAACCTCCTCCGCAGCCTCATCGCACCAGCCAAACCCGCAGACAAAACTATTGAGGAGATTACAAGAACACTCAAAAATCATTTGAATCCAGCATCGCTAGTGTTCGCGGAGCGCTTCAGATTCCATAAGAGAAACCAAGCAACGACTGAGACAGTGTCAGAGTACATCGCAGAACTGCGGAGACTGGCGGAACATTGTCAGTTCGGAGAGGGACTATCTGACGCACTGAGAGACCGGTCTGTGGTCTGCATAACGAGAGTACACAAAAACGCCTTTTAACAGAAGAAAGGCTCACCTTACGCCGTGCGGTGGATATCGCTGTGTCAGTGGAAACCGCAGCAAGAGACGCCACTGAACTACAAGGTAAACAGCCCGCTGCATGCTCCGTGTACAAACTGCACTCAAAGCAGCGAAGTGTCAAATCAAAGCCTTGCTTCAGATGCGGCAAACAGTCACATGACCCAGGTGAATGTTGGTTTAGCGATAAAGATTGTAGACAATGCAACAAAAGAGGGCATATACAGAAAATGTGTAAAGCGAAATACAGCAACATTAAAGAAAACTCTAGTGCAAAAGGGGACAAAAACTTCATAAAGTAACGGAAACTGAGTCAGATAGCTCAAGTGAAGAGGAACTGTGTTATCTTGGACTGTATGCCACTAAAGAGGATGACAGTGATATAATATGGTTGACACCGAAAGTCAATGGTGGGCTATTAAAAATGGAACTGGACACGGGATCAGCACTGTCACTAATATCCAAGAAAGATTACATTACAAACTGTTGTCTCGCACAAATGTGAAACTTAAGACATACACAGGTGAAAGAGCTGAGCCTCTGGGAAAACTGAATGTTAAGGTGAAATATAAAAAGCAAACAAGTAACCTTGAACTGTTCGTTCTCAAAGAGGGAGGCGCGCCACTGTTCGGACGTCAATGGCTAAGACAAATTAAACTGAACTGGCCAGAAATAAAAACCATGAGCCTGGCTTCCAAACAACACAAAGAGAAACAACTCTCAGAAATACTAGACAACCACAGAGTAGTGTTCAGTGAGGACATAGGGACCATGAAACACATTAAAGCGTGTCTAGAGCTTCAAAAAGACACAAAATCAAAGTTTCACAAAGCTCGTCCAGTGCACTACGTTCAAAGGTTGAAGCTGAGCTACAACATCTAATGGATCAGGGGATCTTAACAAAAGTGGATTGGTCTGAATGGGCAACGCCAATCGTTCCAGTGGCCAAGAAGTCTTCAGAACGAGTTCGTATTTGTGGGGACTTCAAGGTAACCGTTAACTGCACGCAGACCATTAAATAGATCTTTAACAAAAATAGATCTTGCTCAGGCCTATCTGCAAATGGAGATGGACGAGAGTTCACGGAAGTACCTCACCATCAACACTCACAAGGGTTTGTACCAATACAACCGACTTGTATTTGGCATTACAAGTCGCATTACAGTGCCCCAGCAATCTGGCAACGTGCAATGGACCAGGTGTTACAAGGGATCCCAGGTACACAATGTTACCTGGATCATAGTCACTGGGCCAGACAAAGATTCGCATTTAGCAAACTTAGATGCGGTTCTCAACAAACTTGAGGAATATGGACTTAAAGCAAATAAAAAGAAATGTGAGTTTTTCAAAGAATGTATTGAGTACTGTGGACACAAGATAGACAAGAATGGACTACACAAAACGCAAGATAAAGTCTTGATTGTAGATAACTATTATTACAAGTTTTTGCCAAATCTGTCATCTGAGCTCCACCCACTAAATGATCTTCTCCATCAAAACGCTTAATGGAATTGGACTAATGACTGTGATGAAGCATTCAAAAATGAAAAAAAATACTCCTTATCTCAGACAAAGTTTTGACACACTTTGACCCAAAGTTGCCCCTGCGACTTGCCTGTGATGCTTCACCAAACGGCATTGGTGCCGTTTTGTCACACAAAATGAATGACGGCTCAGAACGCCCCATTGCTTTTGCATCACGCTCTTTGTCACCGGCAGAGCGTAATTATGCACAAATAGACAGAGACGCTCTAAGCTTAGTTTGGGGAGTGAAAAAGTTTAACCAATATTTGTATGGAAAGCAGTTTATTCTGATTACAGATCACCAGCCATTAGTCTCCATCTTCAATCCTCAGAAAAGTGTTCCAGCGTTGGGCTCTCTTTCTGGGAGCTCACACATACACCATTGAATACATGGAAATGCAGATGGATTATCCCGCCTTCCTCAGCCAAACACAGGTAAAGGCACCGACCCTGCTTTAACTCTTCACATGCTGCAAATGGAACCTCTCCCAGTGACTAGTGCACAAATAAACAAAGAAACAAGAAATGACCCACTGCTATCTAAAGTGTATGACTTAACTGTAAGTGGTTGGCCCGCTCATACAGACACTGAACTGTCAGATTACTTTACAAGGAAAGATCAACTCACTGTGTGCCACGGTTGTGTCATGTGGGGTTCACGTGTCATTGTACCACCCAAACTGCGCTCAAAAGTGCATAGCTCACTGCAACTTTCTACTGGCATACCGAAACACGCCACACACAACAACTGGACAATCACCTGCAATGTTGTTTAGGGGAAGAAACTTAAGGTCTCGTTTGGATCTATTAAAACCTGAAATCCGTCAACATGTTACAAACAAAAAATGTTCTTCCACTAGACAACAACGAAAACTACGATCATTTGATATTGGACAAAAACTGCTGGCTAGAGACTATCGCAACCAAAGTGACAAGTGGCATCATGCTGAGATTTTGTCACAAACTGGACCACTCTCTTACACTGTAGGTGTGGAACCTAATGTCGTCTGGCTCAGACATTCCAATAGGCGGTCAGGAACATGGCTATGATGAGGAAGCAACCTTTAAAAACTCGGTCACAGCCTCAAAAAGATCACAGCCGTTAAGGTGATTCTAAAAAACCTCCAACGAAGCCACAGATCCTCCACCAGGCGAACCCCCCAGAGCTGCTCTACAGACCCTCCACCAGGCGAACACCCCAGAGCTGCTCTACAGACCCTCCACCAGGCGAACACCCCAGAGCTGCTCTACAGACCCTCCACCAGGCGAACACCCCAGAGCTGCTCTACAGACCTTCCACCAGGCGAACACCCCAGAGCTGCTCTACAGACCCTCCACCAGGTGAACACCCCAGAGCTGCTCTACAGACCCTTGGCCTGGCTGGTATGTGGAGCTCCCACTCAGACCTGTTCCAGTTCCAGGCTCCAGCTTCAGGATTTCCAACGTGCTTCAAGTTTCCTGCTGGGAGCCTATAAGAAACACTTCGACTGCACTCTCTCTCTCTCTCTCTCTCTCTGTCTTGGCAGCAGCAAACATGCCTTCCCCCTTTTTGGTTTTCTTTGTTCATTCCATAGACTTTTGTCGCTGTTAATTAAATATCTTAACCTTTTGTTTGCTGTAGTCCTTTATGTTGCCACTATAGAGCCAGGGTGAAACATATTGGGGCTCGTCTCTTGGGTGTAACATATTGGGATTCGTCTCTCGGGTGTAACATATTGGGATTCGTCTCTCGGGTGTAACATATTGGGGCTCGTCCCTTGGGTGTAACATATTGGGGCTCGTCTCTTGGGTGTAACATATTGGGGCTCGTCCCTTGGGTGTAACATATTGGGGCTCGTCTCTTGGGTGTAACATATTGGGGCTCGTCTCTTGGGTGTAACATATTGAGGCTTGTCTCTTGGGTGTAACATATTGGGGTTCGTCTCTTGGGTGTAACATATTGGGGCTTGTCTCTTGGGTGTAACATTTGAGCTTGTCTCTTGGGTTAACATATTGGGGCTCGTCTCTTGGGTGTAACATATTGGGCTCGTCTCTTGGGTGTAACATATTGGGGCTTGTCTCTTGGGTGTAACAAATTGGGGCTCGTCTGTTGGGTGTAACATATTGGGGCTCGTCTCTTGGGTGTAACATATTGGGGCTCGTCCTTGGGTGTAACATATGGGCTTCTTGGGTGTAACATATTGGGGCTCGTCCCTTGGGTGTAACATATTGGGGCTCGTCTCTTGGGTGTAACATATTGGGGCTCGTTTGTTGGGTGTAACATATTGGGGCTCGTCTCTTGGGTGTAACATATTGGGGCTCGTCTCTTGGGTGTAACATATTGAGGCTTGTCTCTTGGGTGTAACATATTGGGGCTCGTTTGTTGGGTGTGGCATATTGGGGCTCGTTTGTTGGGTGTAACATATTGGGGCTCGTCTCTTGGGTGTAACATATTGGGGCTCGTCTCTTGGGTGTAACATATTGGGGCTCGTCTCTTGGGTGTAACATATTGGGGCTCGTCTCTTGGGTGTAACATAGTGGGGCTCGTCTCTTGGGTATAACATATTGGGGCTCGTCTCTTGGGTGTAACATATTGGGGCTCATCTCTTGGGTGTAACATATTAGGGCTCGTTTGTTGGGTGTAACATATTGGGGCTCGTCTCTTGGTTGTAACATTATGGGGCTCGTCTCTTGGGTATAACATATTGGGGTTCGTCTCTTGGGTGCAACATATTGGGGCTCGTCCCTTGGGTGTAACATATTGGGGCTCGTTTGTTGGGTGTAACATATTGAGGCTCGTCTCTTGGGTGTAACATATTGGGGCTCGTCTCTTGGGTGTAACATAGTGGGGCTCGTCTCTTGGGTATAACATATTGGGGCTCGTCTCTTGGGTGTAACATATTGGGGCTCGTCTCTTGGTTGTAACATTATGGGGCTCGTCTCTTGGGTATAACATATTGGGGTTCGTCTCTTGGGTGCAACATATTGGGGCTCGTCCCTTGGGTGCAACATATTGGGGCTCGTCCCTTGGGTGTAACATATTGGGGCTCGTCTCTTGGGTGTAACATATTGGGGCTCGTCTCTTGGTTGTAACATATTGGGGCTCGTCTCTTGGGTGTAACATATTGGGGCTCGTCTCTTGGGTGTAACATATTGGGGCTCGTCTCTCGGGTGTAACATATTGGGGCTCATCTCTTGGGTGTAACATATTTGTGTAACATATTGGGGCTCGTCTCGTTGGTGTAACATATTGGGGCTCGTTTGTTGGATCTAACATATTGGGGCTCGTCTCTTGGGTGTAACATATTGGGGCTCGTCTCTTGGGTGTAACATATTGGGGCTTGTCTCTTATATGTAACATATTGGGGCTTGTCTCTTATATGTAACATATTGGGGCTCTTCATATTGGGGCTCTTCTCTTGGGTGTAACATATTGGGGCTCGTCTCTCGGGTGTAACATATTGGGGCTCTTCTCTTGGGTGTAACATATTGGGGCTCGTCTCTTGGGTGTAACATATTGGGGCTCGTCTCTTGGGTGTAACATATTGGGGCTCGTCTCTTGGGTGTAACATATTGGGGCTCGTCTCTTGGGTGTAACATATTGGGGCTCGTCTCTTGGGTGTAACATATTGGGGCTCGTTTGTTGGGTGTAACATATTGGGGCTCGTTTGTTGGGTGTAACATATTGGGGCTCGTTTGTTGGGCGTAACATATTGGGGCTCGTTTGTTGGGTGTAACATATTGGGGCTCGTCTCTTGGGTGTAACATATTGGGGCTCGTCTCTTGGGTGTAACATATTGGGGCTCGTCTCTTATATGTAACATATTGGGGCTCTTCTCTTGGGTGTAACATAGTGGGGCTCGTCTCTTGGGTGTAACATATTGGGGCTCGTCTCTTGGTTGTAACATAGTGGGGCTCGTCTCTTGGGTGTAACATATTGGGGCTCGTCTCTTGGGTGTAACATATTGGGGCTCGTCTCTTGGGTGTAACATTTTGGGGCTCGTCTCTTGGTTGTAACATAGTGGGGCTCGTCTCTTGGGTGTAACATATTGGGGCTCGTCTCTTGGGTGTAACATATTGGGGCTCGTCTCTTGGGTGTAACATATTGGGGCTCGTCTCTTGGTTGTAACATAGTGGGGCTCGTCTCTTGGGTATAACATATTGGGGCTCGTCTCTTGGGTGTAACATATTGGGGCTCGTCCTTTGGGTGTAACATATTGGGGCTCGTCTCTTGGGTGTAACATATTGGGGCTCGTTTCTTGGGTGTAACATATTGGGGCTCGTCCCTTGGGTGTAACATATTGGGGCTCGTCCCTTGGGTGTAACATATTGGGGCTCGTCTCTTGGGTGTAACATATTGGGGCTCGTCTTTAAGGTGTAACATATTGGGGCTCGTCTCTTGGGTGTAACATATTGGGGCTCGTCTTTAAGGTGTAACATATTAGGGCTCGTCTCTTGGGTGTAACATATTGGGGCTCGTTTGTTGGGTGTAACATATTGGGGTTCGTCTCTTGGGTGTAACATATTGGGGCTCGTCTCTTGGGTGTAACATATCGGGGCTCGTCTCTTGGGTGTAACATATTGGGGCTCGTTTGTTGGGTGTAACATATTGGGGCTCGTTTGTTGGGCGTAACATATTGGGGCTTGTTTGTTGGGTGTAACATATTGGGGCTCGTCTCTTGGGTGTAACATATTGGGGCTCGTCTCTTGGGTGTAACATATTGGGACTCGTCTCTTGGGTGTAACATATTGGGGCTCGTCTCTTGGGTGTAACATATTGGGGCTCGTCTCTTGGGTGTAACATATTGGGGCTCGTCTTTTGGGTGTAACATATTGGGGCTCGTCTCTTATGTTTAACATATTGGGGCTCGTCTCTTATGTTTAACATAATGGGGCTCGTCCTTTGGGTGTAACATATTGGGGCTCGTCTCTTATGTTTAACATAATGGGGCTCGTCCTTTGGGTGTAACATATTGGGGCTCATATCGGGTTTTCTCCAAAGATCCAGGGTGTATTAGACCTAAACAAACTTAGGGCGGAGCCAGCGATACCTACCCAGTCCTCTAGTCTCTGTGAGAGGATCTCATGGTCGACGGTGTCAAAGGCTTTTCTCAGATCTAAAAGGATTCAGATTGAGACTTTGCCTGCGTCAGTGTTCAGATGGATATTGTTTGATTCCTTGTCAAGAGCAGTGTCAGTCTGTGGTGGGGTCTAAAGCCAGACTGGAACATATCAAATGAGTTGGTGATAAGAAATCTAGTAAGCTGTAGGTAGACAACTTTTTGAAGTACATTCCCCATAAATGGCAGATTTGAGATGGGCGGGTAATTTTTATGCACCATGTGTAGAGGGACAACCCCATCTATGGTCAGATACAGTCATCTATTGTCCTCTTTTCTCAGATCAAGAGATAAGAACCGGCCCCCCACTGACAAAGCGCTTGGTCATCCATCCATCCATCCATTTTCTTCCGCTTTATCCGTTGCCGGGTCGCGGGGGCAGCAGTCTAAGCAGGGACGCCCAGACTTCCCTATCCACACACACTTCCTCCAGCTCGTCCGGGGGGACTCCAAGGCGTTCCCAGGCCAGCTGAGAGACATAGTCCCTCCAGCGTGTCCTAGGTCTTCCGCGGGGCCTCCTCCCGGTGGGACGTGCCCGGAACACCTCCCCAGGGAGGCGTTCAGGAGGCATCCGGAACAGATGCCCGAGCCACCTCAACTGGTTCCTCTCGACGTGGAGAAGCAGCGGCTCTACTCCGAGCTCCTCCCGTGTGACTGAGCTCCTCACCCTATCTCTAAGGGAGCGCCCAGCCACTCTGCGGAGGAAGCTCATTTCGACCGCTTGTATCCGCGATCTCGTTCTTTCGGTCATTACCCAAAGCTCATGACCATAGGTGAGGGAGGGAATGAAGATTGACCGGTAAATCGAGAGCTTTGCCTTTCGGCTCAGCTCCCTCTTCACCACAACGGTCCGATACAGCGACCGCATCACTGCGCACGCTGCACCGATCCGCCTGTCAATCTCACGCTCCATTCTTCCCTCACTCGTGAACAAGACCCCGAGATACTTGAACTCCTCCACTTGAGGAAGGACCTCTCCACCCACCTGCAGAGGGGAAGGCACCTTTTTCCGGTCGAGCACCATGGCCTCGGATTTGGAGGTGCTGATTCTCATCCCAGCCGCTTCACACTCGGCTGCAAACCGTCCCAGTGCATGCTGCAGGTCCTGGTTCGTTGGAGCCAACAGGACAACATCGTCCGCCAACAGCAGAGATGAAATCCTGTGGTCTCCGAACCGGACCCCCTCCGACCCCTGGCTGCGCCTAGATATTCTGTCCATAAATACCGTGAACAGAACCGGTGACAA